TTTTTAATTTCGCGCAAAGATACACGAGGGCTATCTGCGCTAGCCGTCCCTAATTTAGCAGTGTAAGACTAGAGGGAAGTCATCTAGTCATCACAACCCACCGCCAACTTTTGGGCTACTCTTTTACCAACCGTCACACTATAACGCCCCCACGGCTGAAAGGGCGAGCATGTTTGGTGGGACGGGGATTCGAACCCGCTACCCTCCGATTTCGAGTCCAGCGCCCTAAAAACCTGGCCATACCGGGCCAAGTAATTAACATTAAAAGTATCACTTTAAAATATATATGGAGTTTATTTGTTTTTGAATTTATAGCCTTTCTTAATTTTGAACTGATAAAGAAGGCAGCTACTGACGGAAAAAAAATCCACCGTCACTCTTATAGCGCATCCAAAGTTTGTAACACGTTATTGGGGCAACTGAACTCGAACTTTGAATCTACAGACTCACAGTCCAAGCGCGCAAATTACTTGGCTACGTCCGGCTCAATCTATAGATAATATAGTATATGTTATTATATCTTTGTACTTCATTTATAGGTAATAAAATTATTTAAAGTATACGCTTAGTGTGGTGGACAATTGTCTGATTAACTTTCGAAATTTGACCTGGTTCAGAGCTTCAGCCTGATGCACAGTGCCCTATTTCTTTTGTATAATTGTTTTGTCGAATGTTGCAAATAGCTACGATATAATTTTTGTTTTACACAGGCACGATTTCGTTATAAGCTCAGACGATTTATAATTCAACTAACATTTTAGAAGTGAGCATATAACATTTCTTACCCGCAGCACCGTTCGTAAAGTTGTGTATTCATTACGAGAAAATATTTTGAATAGAAGATATCTAAACTACTCGAGTTACGTAACTTGTCCAATTACCAGTTTAAAAAGAATAAATGACTTAAATGAAGCTAAATGTAGACGGTAATATGTATTTGCATCACAAGAACACTCAAACAATGATGACAACGACACCACCTAAGTTTGAAACTGCAATGTTTATTGCCGTAGGTAAGCCTACAAGCAGCTAACAGAGTTTTATAAACATTTTGAAAATTATGTAAGATCTATCAGATTGTAATCCAAGTTGCGTCGTTCCAAATACTCCAATAACACGAGAGCATTTATAAACGTATAAGGACGTATATGATTATCACTAAAAGAAAGGCTTAAAGGTGATGTGGTAACCGAAAATAATCTACCTGATGATAACTTAAAGAATAATTTAAGATTATTAGTCTATTCAGACTACCTCCTGATGATAAGTTAAAAACTGAGGCACGTTATTCTTTCTATTCCAGATATACCTCCCAAACAATTGAAAGTCGCTGTTATATCCAGACATACCTTCTGAACATAGCTTAAAGAATAACCGCAGGTTAATTTTCAAGCCACGCACATGTTCTGATATTTGCTTAAAATAACGAACTAATGGCCGATATCCTAGCAACAGTCACATCTTGGTGGTTATTATAAGAGTGATAAAATATTAAAAATGAATGCGTTTTGAATGGGCTATTGGATGTGATTATTTTTTTTTACATTATGTAATTCGCATACACGTACAGATTTAAATTTGTAGGGGAAATAACTTGGCAAAGACAAATTTTTTCATGTCTAAAATTGTGTTTGAATTTATTTTTTGCTGTACTTTGTGATAGGTATTTACAAAAGCTTGAAATGAAAAACAAATATTACGAGTCCTTATTCATCGTTAAAGTGACATTTTAGTGGTGCTAGACCATCGAAAAGAAGAATTGGCTCTTTTATGAAAATGAGGATACGTAGATGAGAAAATAATAATTGAAAACAAAATACAATTTTAATGGATCTTGCAATTGTTTGTTTGTTTCTTGAATA